AGAGAGAGAGAGAGAGAGATATATATATATATAAGTACATACATATACATATACCGATAGCAGATACACAATCAAGGTTAATTGAAATGAGAAACAAGCCCACATCAGGCTCATACGGTTTTGAAAATATACACATAACGGCCCGCATCTTTGCTTGTGTATGTATAGCCAAGAATTCATATATTTAACAGAACTTACCATCCATCGCACCAGGCTCGTACAGGTTTCTTCTGACCTTCATTGTTGCTATTTTGTGTCATCGTGTGTTATCTTATTTAAATATCTGGAGCGTGGTACTATGAGCAGGCCTCAGAATGCGATTTGTATAGTAATGTACTATATTGTTACGCATTGGATTCGTCCATGAGACTGACTATGTAACAAGGTATTATAGCCACCAAAGCACCAACTATAATTGTCATAACAATGGCCGGGAGTCAATTCGGTTTTAGGGTTTCAGGGTAAACGTTTTGAGAACTTGTACACCGAGTTGAAAATCTTCTGATAATATAATAGTTTTTAACGTTGTACTTTAACGTAAATACGATTGATTTCAGAACGTTTAAGCGAGAAACGAACTGAGGTGAATTTTTCCTTTAAATATGTAGGCCGTTGGTGCTAGACTGCTAGGGACCAGGGCCGCCTCGGGGTGTCACTCCACTCATGAGTCATGAGGTCATTACCGTTTTGGGCACTTTCACTCTTTTTTACTCTCCGTTGCCATGACAGAAAATTTCCCCTTGTGTTGACCAAATATAGCGATATGTACCGTGGGCGGTAAATCTGTGATATGATAGAGCTAATATGACCCACATATGTGCATTGCGCGGGGACGTGTATGTAGCCGTTGCATCTATTCTTAACTTGCTCAGTTTATATGCTCATAATAATTCACATACTCTGACTAGTTTATGCATGCGTAGGACCAATCACATAGCCTGACTAGTTTATGCTTACATAGGACTAGTCACATACCCTGACGAGTTTATGCATACATAGGACTAGTCACATACACTGACTAGTTTATGCATACATGGGACTAGTCGCATACCCTGACTAGTTTATGCATACATAGGACTAGTCACATACCCTGACTAGTTTATGCATGCATAGGATTAGTAACATACCCTGACCAGTTTATGCATGCATAGGACTAGTCACATACCCTGACTAGTTTATGCATGCATAGGATTAGTAACATACCCTGACCAGTTTATGCATGCATAGGACTAGTCACACTCCAGCCAGTCCATAGCGGCTTTGAGACTTAATTAAATATACATAAAGTTTTCTTTTGCGTCGTTCACTTTAATGACATCCGAGCATGGCATGTTCCACCGTCACACCGGCAACTTGCGCTCACTGACAAAATAAGTATCCACATACCAAGTTTATTAGTTTAATAGGAGACCGCGATATCTCGTTTTAGAAGGCTATGTATAGCGCGTGTAAATATAATTTTCAAATCCGATTGAATTTCTCAAATGTATGTATGGAGTCGGATTTTTAAACGGTTAAATGTATATACGTACATACAAGACTAGTAAAAAAAGAGAGTAATTGCACCTGCGCCTGTTCTTGGTAGAACAGATATTAATAATCGCGCAGAAGCGACCGTATCAATTGCAACATGCAACAACAAGCATAAAATTAAAGTATACACTATTTGTGGTCGAGCAAGAAAGGAGAAATATACAAAAGAAGAAACAATGTCAGTCACTATAGTCACGCCACTGTACAGATATTATAACACCCGAAATATGAAGTTGAATGACAGCAGATAACCCACTGCAAATATGACGAGCAAATAGTGCAGTACTTTTGTAGATACTACGTGAGGTCATGATGACGAATGTACACATCCAGTGGTTTAAAATACTGTTCTATTTTATAGTTACAAAACAAACCTAGAATAGGACTACTAAGCACGCTGTATCAGGGCTTTGCCTATTATACGAATATGAAATAAATCAATAATATAGACAGTTCATGATGAACGATCATGTGTTCATAATTGCGTGAGCTAGAACTGGTGATCTAATCCGAGTATTGAATCTCCGACAGTAAAGTCAGACTCATGAAATCATACCCATACAAGTAGATATAATATAAAAGGCGATCCGCCAATGTCTATATTGGAGTGAACTTGACTTTGCTGGTGAATCAAATTTCCACCGATCTCCGCTTTGAACATTCACAACAATTGATTTATAGCAACGTATTGAAAGATAAAGTTGCATAGCCTGAAGTCGTGACAGATTTCTCAATACACAAACCTCAACAGGCTGCATGCCAGTTTAACTTTCAACTTTAATAAGTTTGAAACATAATAAAGCACATACTTTCTTTTATTTAGATTGCTTTGTTGCCGTAAATAGCAGTACCGGAAACCGCCCAATCGAAAATACCGGTTGCCACTGACCAAGAAAGATATAGTTGACAGACTAGTGTATATAAACGTTTGATATGCCCAAAGTATAGCGGTGGATGATTGTAGAAGACTAGTACTAGGCTCAACCGATTAAGCATGCTCGGAACACAAGCAAGTTAGCATGTATGTATAACCCACATATACTGCCTCGTTCAAACCATATTTTTTCTGAGATACTGCGCACTAGACCCGTATCTGAATACATACCCTGAGTTTATGACTGGCGTTATATATATATATATATAAACACTCGCTCACACACACACACACACACACACATATATATATATATGTATATATATATAAACACTCGCTCACGCACACACACACACACACATATACATATATATATATATATATGTATATAAACACACACACACACACACACACACACTATATATATATATTTATACGTTTGTAATTTACATACATGCAGCCTTTCAAACCATCAATTGGTCAAGAATTACTTCTTTTCCCAACATGTATACCATCTCTTTAGGTATGTACCATCGTGCGCACAGAAACGAGTCCACAAGTAAAGTACATCAAGTAACACACAAGTACCTCATAGACTGTTTTATTCCTCTTGCGACACTAGCCTATTTGCAGATGCACCGTCCAACCCTGCATCTCCATTTTTCCCACACGTGCTTGTCTCACTGTCCTTTACAGAGCCCCCCCCCTGTGATTCTGGGCGCAAACTCGTCGTATCCTCACACCCACTATCTCGACTATCGTCCTCCATCACACCCTCTTGTATGGCGTGATCATCCTCTTTGTAGAAGCTGTCTGTGTGTCTGCTGGTCTTGTTCTCACGGCCCCTACCCAGCACTTCGATAGTGGCAGTACGTGCCAGAGTATTCATAGTATCACTTTCTTCGCTCGCTGCTGTGGCTGAATCGTGTCTTGATATAGGGCTCGTCTGCGGGATATGACAAGTAATGTTTAGACAAAGTGAGCGAAGGTTGATGCTTGGTGTGATGACAGCATGTCGAAGATACTATATATATATAACTATCTACCAACTGAAAGATCTCACAGACGCTGCGGCTGAGCCTGACATTCACAACACGTACACACCTGACCCTCTTCACCACGTTCGCTCTCACTGTGATGGCTGCCACTAGCGGTACCCTCTTCTTTCCTGGTACATTCCGCTTGAGCATCTTCAACCCCAGTCTCTGTAACCTGCCCATGTGCCACTCGTGCATTGCTCCTGGGTTGCGCGCTCGCCGGCAGTGCCGAATCGGGGTTTGATGGCGATGAACCTTGGTTTATCTGTCCCTGAGTATCCACCCGTGCCCATGCCTGGTCCTGCTCCCGTGTCTGTGTCTGCGAGTGGCTTGGTTGTGACCGTGCGGGTGCCGGGCTTGTCTGTGCGTGTACAACACGTGTGTCAGTCAAGTCCGTGTGCGTGTGTGTATCCACATCTAAACTCGCACTATCGTCGTCATCGCTCCCAAATGCAGTGTGATGAGTATGCGCTTGTGGCCCAGCGGACGGGGTCTTTTGTGACTCTCCTGCTTCATGTCCCCGTGTGTTGGGTTGCTGTGTGTTCCTCTGTTGTATATCTATATCCGATCGCTGACTGTTGGCCTGTTGCCTGTGTTGGGGTTGTGGCTGTTTCTGTGCCTGTTCCGGTGGTCTCGCTCCCTTAGAGTGCTGCTGGTGTACACTGGCGCGTGCACTCGCCTGAGATTCATAGCCCTCTCGTTGTAAAGGGGTGTCTGCCACACATGTTTTCTGCCATCCAGGATCGCCATCGCACCCTGCAAAAGGATACAAAGGTGCAATCGAATGATCAGGTTTCCAACATCATGTGAAAGAATAGCACCATGTGGACTATCTGGAGAATGTATACAAACTATATGTTACACATACACATCTACCGCAGAATGTCTTTTGTTGGGTTGATAGCCATCATCATGTGAAAGAATAGCACCATGTGGACTATATGGAGAATGTATACAAACTATATGTTACACATACACATCTATCGCAGAATGTCTTTTGTTGGGTTGATAGCCATCATCACGTGAAAGAATAGCACCACGTGGACTATATGGAGAATGTATACAAACTATATGTTACACATGCACATCTATCGCAGAATGTCTTTTGTTGGGTTGATAGCCATCACCATGTGAAAGAATAGCACCATGTGGACTAAATGGAGAACGTATACAAACTATATGTTACACATACACATCAATCGCAGAATGCCTTTTGTTGGGTTGATAGCCATCATCATGTGAAAGAATAGCACCATGTGGAGTATATGGAGAATGTTCATCCATGCAAACACTCAGACCCAAATATACGTTACACTCAGAAATAACTTGTATTGTATGCGAGTCAAAGTTTCCGAGTCTTTAGCCGCTAAATCTTCATGCGCGCATGTACCAGACAAAATAAGAGGCGCATGTCTCCTCTTGAGATTGGCGATCATGTACACGCTAGATATTCATACAAACGCGTGTGTGTGTGCAATGCGAGTGTTCGTTGCCTCGTTGCCAATGTCTTGCTGACAGTTTGAATACGTATCATATGTCAATCACAAATTTGGTATATAAATATAGCATACAAATATGGTACTACACACGGTACATTAATATGGTAAATTAATTCCCGCATTTGGCCTGATAGAGTTCCATACGCACAACCCAATGGGTAAAATTACTATCAGCCCTTTCCCTTCGCCGAGGCTCTGCTGGATGTTTGATACAGCCCACTACCTGAGTAGCAAAAACAAACGCAATCCTCACACACGGAAATGCGAGTCCACTATAAAACGCCATTTGGGTCATGCACAAGTACAGCATAGTGTAAACGCTTGCCTTTAAGCGAGTCGGAGTCGTCAGGGCTATGCACGCGAGTACGGTCATCGGTGGTGGCCTGTGTGTCTGTGTCTGTGGTGGTGTCGAGGGCTCTGATCAACGTGCCTGGTGCAATAAGAAACCGAGACAAGTGATTATGAAGGATACAAAGCGGACGAAAATTGAATTAGCCACAGGGGACTCATGGAGAGATAGCCTGTGTGGGTGTGGTTGTGGCTGTGGTTATGGGTGTGGGTGTGGTTGTGGCTGTGGTTATGGGTGTGGGTGTGTATGGTTGCGGTTGCGGTTGTGGTTGTGGTTGTGGG